TATATATATATATATATATATACATATAAGCTGCTTAAAAAAACTCTTCAATATCTGCTATGAAATTACTGAAATTATTGAGTAAACAGACATACAGTACAAACCAGAACTAGAATACATTTTTTTTTCCTGAACGCTCCCAACCCACCATTTTTACTTTTAAATGTTTAAATTATTTTTAAATTATTTCGGATATCTGTTTTTGTCTCTCACTGAGAGCTATGTTAATTCTTAAAAATTCATATGACCTAAAATGGAGGCTATGTCATAAAATCAGGATGAAGACCATGGCAATGAATTTAGTGACATGAAGGAGCTGTTTAATTGTCCAACAACAAATCTGTTTTTAATGTTTCCTTCTCTTTACTTCTAGAACATTCCAATCCCGACTCTAAAGGACTTTGCAAAAGCCATGGAGAGGAACACTCATGTGAAGAAGTTCAGTCTGGCTGCCACCAGAAGCAATGACCCTGTTGCCATGGTGAGGGACATGATTCACTTCAGATGTCTGTGTGTTCGGGGTTGAGATTGAACAAATGCAGTCTTTAGGGATGACCCTCCATATTTTGTGCTTTTTGTGTCAAAAAAAAAAAAGAGAAATTAATCTCTTGAAACGCTTGAATCATGCACCTACAGTGAACTGATTCTTACATGTTAAGTACTTTGATTGCATGCTGTTTTTGTTAAGTGTTTTCCAAGCTGAATGTCTGCTGTTTTTCCATCATTGCTGGTGGTTTCAAATAGGCAGCATTTGTTAAACCTCTGAAAATTGTTGCATAAGCAGTTTTAAATATATTCCACTCTAAATAATAGATTATACTGTCATTACTGATTACTGGTGATTTGTCATTGTCAAGTAGGTTGCCTGTCTTCACTAAAAGTGAAAAGCTAAGATAAACATGGAAGAGATCCGGCTCCCTTGACACCTTGTTAAAGCTATGTGTGTTTCTCTGTGTTCACTGCAGGCCTTCTCAGACATGCTACGAGAGAATAAGACACTAAAAAGTTTGAATCTGGAGTCTAATTTTATCACAGGCACAGGAGTTCAGGCTCTGGTAGAAGCTCTGCGGGACAATGACACGCTAACAGAGATCAAGATTGACAACCAGGTACAGCACACAAATTCAACCACATGCTGTTCTAAAACAACAAGCTTTTTTTTTTTACTTTGTAGACTGTCACAGACTGGTGGTACCAGTGTGGTCTGCTCTGGTGGTGATAGTTTAGGTGATTATAACTTTGACACACCACTCGCATCCAGTGTGACTGTAGGTTGTTGCATATCAACTTGCCACATTAATCTCTGATGCTGCTAATAAGTTATTATTGTCA